CAACAAACCCTAGAGTATCCCAGATATGAGCTGAGGGCCAGGCAAGGCATTCCAGACTCATACTGAGGACTCAAGAGCATTCCAGATACGAGCTGAGGGCCCGGTAGGCATTCCAGACTCGTACTGAGGGCTCGATGGCATTCCAGATACGAGCTGAGGGCCCCGTAGGCATTCCAGACTCGTACTGAGGGCCCGGGGGTAATCCAGCTCGTAAATCTGTGGACCCATTGCATGCTGTTTCAGTTTGTTATGATATGTTATTACTAATATGGTTATGTGGACTGTATGTGTATCGGTATTTTGGGGGTAACTCACTAAGCTTTCGGGCTTACAGTTTCAGTTGATTTTTTCAGGTACATCAGGGGATCGCGGCAAGGCAAAGGCATGATCGTACAGCTCCTCACATTGTGTTTATGTTTCTGGGAATACTCTGATAAATAATATTTTGAAAACAAAGTTGTAATGTTTCGATGAACTTGACATATTTTAAAAGTTTAAATTGGTTTGAAATTTTTGGGTGTTATATATGTATAGCTGCAAGAGCTAATAATAATCTAATAGTAGAAATTCTGGCAACAGGAGCATAAGTATCAAAGAAATCAATTCCTTCCTTTTGTCTAAAGCCTTAGATAACCAATCTGGCTTTATACTTATCAATTGTTCCATCCACCTTCATTTTTCTTTTGAGGATCCATTTACATCCTAATGCCTTGCAACCAGGAGGTAAATCAGACAATACCCAAGTATTGTTATGCATGATAGAATCAATCTCATCTTGAATTGCCTCTTTCCAGAAATAAACATCCCTAGAAGCCATAGCTTCATTAAAAGTCTTTGGATCCTCTTCAATATTAAAACAATATTGATGTTGAGAAATAGTCTCATTCCTTGTTCCTTCAATTAAATATAGTTGAAAATCAGATCCAAAAGACTTAGCTTTTCTAGCTCTGGTGCTTTTCCTAGGTTCAGGTACAGAACTTGCACCACCAGAAACATCTTCAGCATGAGTAGTACTCTTGCTGGAAGATTGATGAATCATGTCCCTTGGTCTAGGTATAGATGTAAATCTTTCTTCATCAAAGATAGCATCTCTTGACTCTATCACTGTGTTTACAGACACAGATTCATTAGATTCTAAAACATAGAATCTATATGCTTTGGAATGCTCAGCATATCCAATAAAGATACAATTTATACCTCTCTCACCCAATGTTTTCCTTTTGGGTTCAGTGAGCCTTACAACTGCTCTACAACCCCAAACTTTGAGATAACTCAAATTTGGTACCTTTTTACACCAAAGTTCATAAGGAGTATTCTTACTCCTTTTATTTGGAGTTCTATTCAAGATGTAACATGCAGTTAACATTGCCTCACCCCAAAACCCTTCACTTAAACCAGAATATGACAACATGGAATTAACCATTTCTTTCAAAGGCCTATTCTTTCTTTCAGCTACACCATTTTGTTGTGGTGTATATGGAGCTGTGGTTTGATGTATTATTCCAGTTGATTCAAAATGAACTGGATCATAATACTCACCACCTCTATCAGCACGCAATACTTTTATTAATTCATTTTTATGAAGCTCAACTTGTTGTTTATAAATTTTAAATTTATCAAGTGCTTCATCCTTAGAATGTAGCAAATAGATATAACAATATCTAGATGCATCATCAATAAAAGTAACAACATACTTCTTGTTTCCAAGGGAAGGTGTTGCATAGAAATCACATAAATCACTATGTATAAGATCCAACACCTTGCTTTCCCTAACAACATCTTTGAAAGGTTGTCTAGTGATTTTAGTTAGCATGCATGTTTTACATTTTTCATTATTTTGCATATCAAAAGCAGGAATTAAACTCATTTTAGACATGTCTTTTAATCTCTTGTAATGAATGTGTCCTAGTCTAGCATGCCATAATTCAGATTCATGAAAATTATTGCTAGTACTACTAGAAGCCATGCAAACAGAATTATCTCTAGAAGGATAATTAATATTAAGCCTAATCATTCCATTACATATATAGCCAAATCCCATAAAAGAACCATGTCTTGACAAGATATACTTGTCACTTTCTAACACTTGTTTGTAACCACAATTATTTAATGCAATTTCAGACACGAGATTCTTACGAATCCCTGGAACATATAAAACATTGTTCAAACACAAACATTTCCCAGAAGTAAAAGTAAGTAAAACAGATCCTATGCCCTTGATTGGTTCAGTTGCAACATTTCCCATCTTCACAACAGATCCATCTTTAATTGGTTGAAAGTCCTTGAACCAATATAGATCTTTGCAAACATGACTTGTTGCTCCCGAATCAACCCACCATGCAACTTTATCATCCTGCACATAAAATGCTTCAGAAATCACAGAAATATAATTATGAATATATTTAGAATTCTGCATGAAAACAGAAATCTGACCTTGTTGCTTTTCTGGATCCTTGGATCCACTTGGTCCAGCACCATCATTGTTCACTTTGCGGAGACGACAATCTTTCTTGAAGTGACCCGGTTTGTTACAATTCCAACAAACCAACTCAGTCTTCTTGTTGGAAGACTTGTCATCCTTTCCTTTAAACTTCCTTTTTCCATTAGACTTCTTGGGATTCTTTGAACTTTCTCCTTCCACCATGTTCACAGAAGAGGAACCAACTTGGTTCTTGCCTTTAGGATTGTTATCAAGTTCTTGAGTCCTTATGGACTCTTCAATCCTTAAATGGCTTCCAAGTTGAGTCAAAGTCAATTCCTCTTTGTTATGTTTCAGATTGTGTTTAAAATCCTTCTAGGAAGGGGGCAGTTTGTCAATGATCACAGCCACAGATTCGACTTCATCCATTTTCAGATTGTGTTGAGCAAACTGTCCCAAAATCCTTAACATTTCATGGAATTGTTCCATAACAGGCCTGGAGTCAATCATCTTGTAACCCATAAAGTTACTAACAAGAAACTTCTTACTAGAAGCATCTTCAGCCATGTACTTGGATTCAAGAGAATCCCACAGTTCTTTTGCAGATTTGAAATTTTGATAGATGTCAAAAAGAGAGTCAGACATACCATTGAGAATATGACCACGACATATGTAATCATCATTTTCCCACTTTGATCTTCTTCTTGTTGCCTCCAAAGGTTTATCTTCAACAGATTCTGGTAAGACTGGCATGGGTGTACTCAGAACATACACCACTTTCAGAGTGGTAAGGAGAAACTTCATCTTCTTCTGCCATCTACGAAAATCTTGCCCTTCAAACTTGTTCAGTTTTTCAAACTTACTTGTCATTTCCTTCACAGAATCACCACTTGCCATGATTACGAAATACTTCAATTTTTGTTAGAAAAATAGGGGATGAATAGATTGCTTGGATTCTCTGAAAGTCGTGATTCACTATCAAATTGAAGTATTTCGATGGTACAGATCGAACACTCAATTGGATGAAATTCAGAGAATGAAATCTAAGAATGTATGTGAAAATGTTCTTCAAGATATACCAAAAAAATGACCAAAAACGGATATATTATTCCTGTCTGAAAACTGTCAATAGACAGTTACAAACTGTCATAAAACTACCAAACCCGTCAAAACGGATCTCAAAGAAAAAAGGGTCAACTTTCTAAAATTGGATTTTTGATGCATTTTTTAATATAGCAACATAGTCCAATTGGACCCCGCCAGGTCAGCTCGATCCCAGCCAGGGGCTCTGCCCCTTGGACCCCGCCAGGGGTTGCCGCCCCTGCGACCCCGCTCGCAGGGGCGCTGCCCCCGGACCCCCGTTCGTTTAGGGGCTTCGCCCCTAAATAACAATATACTTTGAATCTTGAAAAACTTAAACAAGTGTGCACTCCTACACCATCCTAACTTGTTCAATATTTAATATCACTTTTGGTCAACAAATTTAATCATATTAAACTTAAATAATATTGATGATATAAAATCACCAACATAAGTAACGGAGGTGACAGTGGTAGGGTCGGCTGGTGTCAGAGGTGGTGGTAGTGGTGGTGGCGGTGGCGGTTATGGTGGTGGGGATGGTGGCGGAGGAGAAAGGAACGGACGGTTCTATATAATCATTTATGATTATACCAGGCCTGTCGCGCCGGTATGCCGGAGGGTAAGAGCGGCAAATGTGAAATACGTGGTCTGAAGTTGAATCTCAAGATCTCTATTTTATTTTTAATCTCAACGGAACCTCTCTCTCTCTCTATATATATATATATATATATATATATATATATATATATATATATATATGTGTGTGTGTGTTTTATTAAAAAACAGAACGCTAGTCATTTAATGAAATTACTTAAATTTAATTGGTCGGTGATATTAAAATTAAATCTAATACGTAAAGACTAATTGTCGGTTTTATTTTAGATAAAGTCATGTTTGGTCCACCTTCCAAGGAATCATTTTAACAAAAACTTACTAAATTAATGAAACTTGTAGATTACTTAAAGACCATTTGATCTCCTTAATAAGCTGATTGGATTCCATCCTCACGAACGTTATTTATTTATTTTTTTATAATTTTATATATATGTCTTATTAAAAATCAAAATATTATATTTATTGGACCAAAATTTTAAATATTATATTTATCCAAACTTTTATTTTTAATATTTTATAATCATTTTAAATAATTATTTTTATCAATTAACTATTATACCTTTTATAAATCAAAGTTTAATAAATCATGCATTTTTATCCTAAGTAAAACCGTATCAAATTTACCTAAATAGTTTAATCAATTTTATATAATCATTTCTGATTTCATTATTTTAATCAATTTTATATTATCACTACGTTTTTATTGTGGGTTTGCCTACACAGTCCATCTCCATAAGTGTCAATGCCAGGAAACTTCTTGATGAAACGAGATGTTAATGGGGATGATGGGCTACTGGAAGCCACCGTACACCACCATTTGATAAGGATAAAAAAGAAGATATTTTCTCAATAACTGATTGGCTGGAGATTTGTCGGAAGAGATCGAATGGTGTGTACCCACCAACGATTCAAACGTAATGGCTCGGAACTAACTTTTGTAAGCTTGGAAAACTTGATCCCAAAAGAGGAATGTAAAAATGAATTGGAGGCACGTGATTATGAGGCTAAGTTTAGGAACAACGAGAAACCTCTGCATGTGAGCTACCTTGTGAGGAAAGAGGAGTTCCAAGGATTGATCGTTATTGTCATGCATGGAGGAGAGTGGGAACCTTTGCTAAGATCCAGTGATAAGAGAGATGGAGGCTACTGTAATTGAAATGTAAGTGGGACGATATAAATCTTTTTAAAAATGAATAATTTTATTTAAATGTTTAATTTGTTAGAACATGAAGCGCTAATTTCATGATTTGTGCTTTACAAAAATAAGAAGCATCCTTTCTATGTTCTTAATTTTGGATTTTTGTTTGTAGTGTAAAGAAATAATAATATAATGTATTAGAAAAAATTATTGGGTTTTACCAAATAATAGTTAAAGATAGAAAAAAAAGTGGACCGATTATTCTTCTTTCAACCTAAATTTCATTAGACTTCCCCTGTCCTCCAAAACTTCTTGTTGTAAATAATGGAAACTGCAAGCTCTTGTCGCGTACATGTTTTTACGTGGTAAAGTGAACCGGAAACACAGGAAACCGATTGAGAACGATCCCAATGTGGTCAAGATAAATTATTTAATTTAAGTTATAGCCCCCAGAATTGTGGTCACTGGCAGAACATAGAATTGTGGTTACTGGCAGAACATAAAAGAGACTGGGGGCCATGGCCCCCCTGTTTTTTATCAATTAAACAGCAATATCTATAGAATCGGTGATCATATAAGTTAATTATTTAAAAGATTGTAACTTACATATTCAAATCAACGAACCCTAAAAATACTATCGGCTCCGCTTGTTTTCTTGCAACTCACGGGAGTTATGCATTGAAACCAGAAGAGAAGATGACAGGTAGTTTTTCCTTAATTTGAAACCGTAACTCTTCCTCATTCTTGCAAGTTATAACTCACCGGACTTCTTGCTCTCTCCCTTTTTCGGGATCAATCGACCTTTCTCCGCCGACTCCTTATTCTCTCTCTCCTCCCGAGTCACCGGCGCCAGACCACCACTGCTTTCCTCTCCGCCGACTCCACAACGAAGGTACACATTTCCTCTTCGCCTCTTACTCTCTCTCATTTCTAGATACATATAAGTATCTCATTTATATATTTATATTATAAATCTTTAGTCATAGATATACCTGGTTGGGGATATGGTGTATGTATAGGGGTAATAAATGTGGCTGAGATATGGTGTATGTATAGGGTTAATAAAGGTGTATGTTATAAGTCTTACACATAAATAAAAGAAGATATGTTTAAGGGTAACAAAGTTACGGTTAATAAAATTGGAGTAAGTAAGATTTTCAGTATTTAGATATTTTAGAATGAAAAATCCACAATAATATTTTATTTTAATGTTATTTTTATCTTTTATGTTTACTTAGTTTTCTTACAAATATATACATTAACTGTGACAATTTGGAACAAAATTAAACATGTTTCTATGGCTTTTTGTAAATTTTAGTTTCGGCACCCTAGCCCTTATTGTTTGTGTTCCGCCCGTGATTGTGGTGCTCCTGAGACCTGAAACACACAACAAAGTCATTTGGAACTATGCCAACAAAGTCGAGATTATCATACAGTGTTACACCGACCGTGGAAATTTTCATCCTTTTTACGAGCCATCTAACCTATTGTTGACTTCGAGTTAGATATTATCAAGAATATTAATTTCACTCCACTTCCCTGTAGTTATTAGTGTCTTATTAATAATTCATTGCTTTTTAGGGTTCATAAGCGGGAGCAATTCGATCATTTGGATAAAAATTACATCTCTAGGACGTTGCTAATACTAGTAGATTTCATAGGCATGTTTGGCTGTGCTTTATTGCTTTAGTTTTTAAAAGATTTGATTATCGGTGTAACACTGTTCGATAATTTGGGTTTTACCGGCAGGAAAGGTTTGCCGGCAAACAACATTGCGATCAAAACCATTATTTTTTTGAATTTTAATTTGTAAAAAAAGGTGAGTTCCGCAACGAATGTTGTTTTTACAATACTTTGGTAAATAAATTTCAAATCACCGCTATTCGGTAAATATTTTTCGAAAGTACTACCTTCTTATACAAAACTCGAGATTTCATTATTTCTTTTTAAGTTGAAATGACAAGACTGCCCTTTTTCCATAACCTATATAATAAACTTCTTAAACCTAATTTCATAGAGAAGCCACAATATCGCCGGCCGCTGCCTTCCTGCATACTCCGATGAAGAAAACAGGTACTCTGTTGGAGAACGTCCTACGGGTACAAGAAACCTACGGTAATGACGCTTCATCAGTCGACCAACTTGTCGACCGCCTCCGCACCACTTTTCCCAAATACCGTCTTTACAAGCTCCAACCTTTCACCAGAAAGGTGAAACAAACCCTCGCTTCCAGCAACATAACAGGAAAGAAAAGACGAATTGAGTTACATGAATCAGAGTCTTCATCCTCGGAATCGCAATCAGATGATGGCGACGAAGAAGATAGAAGTCCAGTTTTGACATCTGAGGATGATGTATATAGCCTGAAATCAGAACCGGAGTTTGATTTAACAAAGTCGAGACTTAGAAACACGTACAGAAAGGAAACCAAAACGGTTGGTTCAATGAAAGAATATACATATAGACGTGTTAAGGCACAAAAACGGAGCAACTTATCAAATGATGTTGATGCGAATGGAAGACACAATGATGATGGTGTTGATGCGAATGGAAGACACAACGATGGGCCAAGGGTTAAGGACTTTGGTGGAATGGATGATGTGATAAATATGTTGAAGAAACAGGTGATTATTCCTTTATATCATCCAGAGTTACCTCGTAGGCATGGAGTTAGGCCAACGGTTGGCATTTTGTTACATGGTCCGCCAGGGTGTGGAAAGTCAACGCTAGCTCGAGCCATTGCTATCGAGACTGGATTTCCATTCTATGAGGTTGCAGCCAGTGAGATGGTCTCTGGTATATCAGGTAATGTAACGTGAATAAAACTGTAGTATCAGGAAACTAGCTAGAATAATCCATAATTCTTTTTCGTTGCAAAAATTTCAGGTGCATCAGAAGAGAACATACGAGAGCTATTTTCAAAAGCATACAGAACAACACCATCTATAGTTTTCATCGACGAAATCGATGCAATTGCTTCAAAAAGAGAAAATCATCAAACAAAAATGGAAAGCCGGATTGTGACACAATTATTGGCATGCATGGATCAATCCCACAGAGGTGTAAAACAAGGATACGTCTTAGTAATTGGTGCTACTAACAGACCTGATGTTCTTGACCCAGCATTAAGAAGGACTGGAAGGTTTGATCGTGAGATTGCTTTAGGTGTCCCAGATGAAAAAGCAAGATTGCAGATTCTTAAAGTTGTTACACGTGATTTGAGAGTGTCAGGTGATCTTGATCTAGTGAAAGTTTCTAGGGCGACTTCAGGGTATGTTGGTGCTGATTTGGAAGGACTGGTGACTGAAGCTGGGAGTCTTGCTATGGCAAGAGTCATAGATGAAAGAGAGTTGGAACTTTGTAAAGGAAGTGAGAAAAATGAACGTTGGTGGGAGAAAGGGTGGTCTGTTGAGGAATTAGAGAAACTTGAAGGCGTGAGAATGTTGGATTTTGAGGTAGCAATAAAAAATGTTATCGCGTCTTCCAAAAGAGAAGGTTTTTCTATGATTCCAAATGTTAAATGGGAAGATGTTGGAGGTCTTGATACTTTGAGAAGGGAGTTTAACCGTAATATAATTGGGCCTATAAAATTTCCTGACGAGTTTGATCAGGTAATTAAATAATGGCACTTATGTGATCACTACTCTTGATTTATTTGGCCTGAAAAAAGACACAGTCTTTGTTCATACAACTTATATTTTCAGAAATGTGGACTTGATATGGAGATGGGGTTTTTGCTATATGGACCACCTGGTTGTGGGAAAACATTAATTGCCCAAGCTGTTGCTAATGAATCAGGAGCAAATTTCATATACGTTAAGGTTTTTCACAAACTCTAGTACTTGATATATATTTTTACTCGTGTGGCCATTTTTATCAATATTTTTTAATTATTTTTTCACTGTGAAGGGTCCTGAGCTTTTGAGCAAATATGTTGGTGAGGCTGAATCGGCAATTCGAACAATATTCAGTCGTGCAAGGACGTGTTCCCCATGCATAGTGTTCTTCGATGAGGTTTTCCTTTTTCAGATTTCTCTCCTTTTTTTATTATCAAAATTGGGATTTGAAAATTGAGATGGCTGATCATTTAAGGTTGATAGCCAAGTTCATGGGATTAATGTTGGTGCTTTGTTTATTGCAGATAGATGCTCTGACAACAAACCGTGGAAAAGAAGGGGGACACGTGGTCCAGGGAGTTGTGACTCAGGTTACCAACTTTTTTTATTGTATGACTAAAGACTTTTCCTTTTTTTTGGATCTAAATTAAGACCGGTCTTAATGCTTATATTTGTTCCCCGTTGGGTTGTTTCTTTTTTACTTAATGTGTTAAATAGGTTAAATTAACACTTAATATACAAGGCTGTTTCTTCTTTTGACTTAGTATGGACAAAGTGACTTAAAGGGTTTTAAGCATAAATACATGGCTTAATGTATTAACTTTTAAGACACCAACAATTTACCTATTTTATGTCCTCTTTTTCCTCCCAACTACTCTCATGTTAAAATTAATTGATGCATGTTGTGAAAATTGTTTGTTGGGAATTTTAGGGTGAAATGGTTATTGTAGTTTCATTCAAACCAGAAAAGAAAAGAAACAAACCTTATGTATGCAGCACGTTATCCACAAAGACATCATTATCCATTTAGCCATTCTACCCATAAAAGACTTAATGGAAAAAAGAAACAACCCCTAAGTCCATTTATTTAGTCAAAAAAAAAACAGCACCTTAATTAGTGATCCGGAGAGATAAAAGCTCTTTTATTTTCGCAGCTTTTGGTAGAGCTAGATGGTGTTGACCAACGAAAGGGCGTTTATGTAATTGGTGCTACAAACAGGTGTGACACGTCATCTTTGATTTTCTTTATAAATTAGTTTATTTATGACTGATCCTGTTGATTTGATTTTAGGCCTGAGATGGTGGACAAGGCACTCTTACGACCCAAAAGAATGGAGAAGCTTGTGTATGTGCCTCTGCCAAATCCAGATGAACGTGGGTTGATCTTGAAAGCTCTTGCTAGGAATAAGCCAATAGATGCTGACGTGGACTTGATTGCTATTGGTCAGAGTGAGGCTTGTGCAAATTTTAGTGGAGCCGATCTTTTTGCATTGGTTCGCATCTCTTCCATACACATGCATATGACAAATTTTAAGCATCATAAAGATTTAAAATAGCAATGGCTTTTCAATATACATATCAAACTATTTTAATTTAAAACTAAAAACTAATAATCATTTACTATATCACACAAAAAGTTCAACATTTAATTTGATGTAAGATATAATAAAAATATATAGTTAGCAGTTACATGTTCAAAATATTATGAACTAAATGCAAGGAATACTAATTTATTTTTGTTTTTTTTTTTCATCTATAGCATTCTACTTCTATTTTTTTGTTATTAGAGCATTGTGTGTTTCAATTATTTCTTATTAGGAAATTGTTCTTTAAAAAGTCAACTCATTATAGCTACATTTGGGTAGATATTCATATTACAGTGCTTTAATAATATATAATTTGGAAGAACAATGTTTTAATAAGAAGAACCGAAAATACAATATATGCTGTAACTGAAGATTGGGTTAAATGCAAGAAATAGCGACGTACTTCCATTGATTTGTTTATTTTAGCATCCATTTTTTATTTATTTCTATTACAACGTTGTAATTTGGAAGATCTACCCAATGTTTAACAATGTAATCCAAATGCAAAGCAATTATCATTGTTATAATTGGATTATTGGATAGATTTTTCAAAGTACATTGTCCAAATAAGAACATCAAACAAAATTGAAACTACAATGCTATTATTGGGTACGCACAATACCGTAATAGAAAGAAATGAACATAGTATGCTATAACACACAAATAAATAAAAATACATTGCTATTTCTTTCATTTAGTTCCCAAAAGATTTGCAAAGCACATTGCTGTTTCTTGCATTTAGTCCCAAAAGATTTTGAAAAGTACATTTCTATTTCTTGCAATTATCCCTAAAAATGCGTTAGAAGAAAGTTTATCAAGCCTTTTTATGATGTCAATACGCGAATTTTTAGCCTTGACGTCACTTTTTGTCCAAATTTCAGATGAAAGAAGCTATCATGATTGTTCGTGAAGAGAGATTTAACATAATGCAAGCTGCAAAAGCTAGAGATGAACCAAAAAGCTCATTACGTGGGTTGCCACATACTATTAAAGCTATACATTTTGAGCAAGCTTTGGGAAAAATCTCCCCTTCTGTCTCAGATAAGGTATGACCTGTAAATCATGCAATGAAAGTTATACCTTGTTCTAGGAAGCCTGTAACAGAAAGAGATTTACTTCTAATATGTGTGTTTTTTGCTGCAGCAAATACAATATTTACATCGACTATCAAAGACGTTTGGAGCATCGTAAATGTGGAACAAGTAGGGTTTATTGCACCTTATTTCTGATACTTCATATTTGATAATAGATAAAGCAGTTTGGGTGCTTTGACTTGAGTATGTTAAAATTATCGACTATTTACTATTTACATAGGTTGTTTAAAAAATAGAATCAGTTTTATTTTCACGGGTCAACAACCTATGTACCACTTCATACAACCTTATACACATTTTTTGTGGTATTTTTCTCTGGTGATTTTAAAGTTATTATCAAAAATTTATTGCATAATAGTCGTTTTATGATTTTGAATATTTTTTAGTAGGGTATTTGCTTTTAGTTATATATATTATTAAACGTAAGATAAATCAATGTTATAACTCAATCATACATGACTCACAATTTGGATAATAAAATGAATAAATGTTTTTATTAGGGTTTTAAGTCACGCGTTGCGGTGGGAGATTAAGCAATAATTTTTTTTATATAATATGTTCGACGTATTAAGATATTACAGTTTGAAAACATTGTACCTTTCAATTTTTTTCTTATTAAGGCATTACACTTTGAAAATAAAACATATTTATACATTGCATTTTTTTCCTATTTAGGCATTCAACTATGAAACTCTATATGATTAAAACATTGTACTTCTAGAATTTAACCTATTAAGATACATTTCTATTTCTTGCATTTTGGCCCATGATGCAGAATATATCCAAACTCTAAGTACCATTAGATGAAATCTGATCACCTGAGTCGGAGGAGCCTGACAGATGTGCAGTGCTACTGGTTTTAACAAAAATAAAAAATGTTTGGAGTGTATGTGAAAGATCAGAATGTATGTGTGTAAACGAAATTAAGCACCAATACAGAACATATGGTAAAAATCAATATTACAAGCACCAAATCTATCTGATTTGGTTGGTTGATAGAAAGAGATTCCACTCCTCAAAGGCAAGAAGTTTGATGCCCTCACCTCACTTCTGAATTCTCACCTCCTTACCTCTATGGCAAACATATTTATAGTTCCATTTGTTTATGGATTATAGCATCCTAGTTAATTTTTCTATTACAACATTGTACTTTCATTATCTTTATCTTATCAATGCATCTTACTTTAAGAAAATTAACCAATCACAACATTATACTCTCGTTTTTTTTTTCTTTTTGAAAAATATATTCAATCGTAGTAGTGAAAATTACATTTTTCTTGGATGATATTTGCTATAATTTGGTAGAGTTTTCAAAACATTGTGCTTTAATCAGAAAACATCATAGAACAGGATGACAAACATGAACTAGGTTCAAAACAAAGCCAAACCACATAATTGAAATCAAATCTTGGCCGTTTGATCAAAAAATCAATGATTAAGATTACAGCCGGTCACAAAAGTTATGGCCTCTTTCAAATTAAGTATGTCGGATGAATTTCCTAAACAGGTGAGTTTGGTTGTATAATTTGGTTCCGTTTAAATTCCTACCCATAAGAAACAAATCAAGATAAATATGTTGCTATTTCTTGCATTTAATTCTTAGGATAATGATGAACAATTTGAAATGTTTACTGATGTTTGTTCTCACATTCGAGAGGTAAGAGACTCTCCAAAGAAAACCCAATAACAAAATATCATAATGAATCAATGACTTCTTCTAATTAATCCCTCTTATTTATAATACCACTTTCTTCTTCTAACTATCTCACCACTAACTAAGCAACCGACTGACCACCTTTAATCTCCAAATGAATAAACCAATCACCATTCAGTAAGGAAGTATAATGACATAAATGCCCCTCGTCTTATTTCTTTTCACAGGAAGCTCATCAAATAACTAAGAAGCAACAGAAAGAGATCCACCTTTACTTTTTAACAAAAAAAACAAGATATAAAGAACATCGGGGATTACAAATTGAATCAAATTGAGCATCACAACTTAAGAGCAGCAATAGCCTCCGGTTTAAAATCAACTCTCATCCCCAAAACCCTCCTAACCTCAGCGGGAGTCAACCTCCAAGTCATAGGTCCCGAATTCTCCCCCCAAAAGTCCAAAATCTCCGACACCTTCTCCAAATTCAAAATCGTAGCCATTTTGTCAACCTCGCAAACTTATCTCTCACAGTCCTCTGAGTCATCCCCGAGAAATGACTCACGAGGGCCCGCACGTCCCGGTCAAGTTGCAAACCACCAAGCTGACTGAATCTTTTTTGCATCATGATAAGTTCGAGTCTTTTTACAATGAAGTCGATTACCAAATGAACAAAAGAGTCATAGTTGTTGGCAGTCATTAGTGGTTGGAGCCACGATGTGTTGGTTTCGACTGCGTGAAGGAGTCGTTGGACCCACGGGTCGTTTACCTCGTTTTCCGCGTATTCTGATTCAGAGAGCTCGTAGGATACGGTTGCTACGGTGTCTAGGACTGGACGGATTCGGTGGGTCACGGTGCCTACGAGGTGTTCTAGACTGGAATTTAGGGTTTTTTGAAGCCGTTGCTCATTTCTCCTAATTCGGATAGACATGACTTGATTCTTTCTCTGTCACCTGGTGTGGGGAATACCTGATTAAGAAAACCAATGTAGACAATGTACTTACATTTCTTTACACATTATAGCAACATACTTACAAATCCCCAAAACAAAATTATAATGAATCCAACATCTCAAAAACTATTAGAGTCAAATCAACTAAAGAAAAGGTTGATGGAGGAAATAGTAATGTACTTTCATTTCTTTCTTCTACAGCATTGTACGTTCAATTTTTTTTCTTATTAAGGCATTGTACTTTGGAAAATCTACCCATTTATAGCATTATGATATTAGTCTTTTTCTTATATAGCAGTGAAACTTGCTTTGTATTTAGATGACATTGCTATAAATAGGGTATTTTTTCAAAGTACAATGATGTAACAGGAGGTAATTAAAGTAGGATGCTATAGTAAACATATCAATGGAAGTACATTGTTATTTCTTGAATTTAACCCTATAAAAATCCAGCCAGATAGCAATGGTCATCATTATATATCCCCAAAACAAAATAGGTTAAGTTTTTTCTCTAAAGATTTAGCAAAATAACCATTCCCATGTATAATATATTGGCAATGCACAATTGTGATGTCAACAATCTTGTCTCATGTAGGCAAACCATGTAGCAAATTAACAATTAATTGAGCAAAAAGATAGAAAACATACCAATCTTGGTTTTATCTAAATAATTATACCAGTTATATCAGTTCAAAGATTAAGGTTCATAAGTGAACCACATCTTTCATTTTTTGAAACTGTGCCCCAAAATTTAGTGGTAATGAAGATATATTTTTTTTTCCTTTTTGCAACTCTATCTCTTGTAATTGATGCTTTTTATGTGTTAACAGTTGATAGCATTTTTTTTGCATTGGTGTTGCTTGTATACTGATTGCACACCATTGTCTTTCTCATCAATTGAAATTGGTATGATCCACCAATATTTTCACCTCCGCTTTTAGTAATTTGATCAACTTTTAAACTGATTTTGAAGATAAACAACTGCACGAGTAGTTATATCCTTTCCATAAGTTGATTAAGAAATGATTGATGTGTTCTTGAATTGTCCTACTTGTTCTTTCAAATGTACTACATAGCTACCCTACTTGGTCTTTGATTGTACTACATAGTTGGCTTACTTGTTCTTTTCAAGGCCACTAACACATTAGTTGATGATAAAGACAAGATTGATGTGTTCTTTTAACTGTACTACACTTTTAGTTTACTTGTTCTTTAACTGTACTACATAGCTACCCTACTTGTTCTTTAACTGTACTACATAGTTAGCTTACTTGTTCTTTTAAAGGCGACTAATATATTGGTTGAAGATAAAGAAAAGATTGAGGTGTTCTTTTAAATGTACTACATAGATAGTTTACTTGTTCTTTAACTGTACTACATAGCTACCCTACTTGTTCTTTAACTGTACTGCATACTTAGCTTACTTGTTCTTTTCAAGGCAACTAATATATTGGTTGAAGATAAAGACAAGATTGAAGTGTTCTTTAATTGTACTATATAGTTAGCTTACTTGTTCCCTCCTGGCTCCCCTGAAGTATTTAGATAGTATGTTGGCATTCCATAGTTGTGCATTGGTAACATTTTGTTCTTTGACATATAGTCATTTTGGATGAAATTAACATAGTATTTTGTTGTTGGGATATTGAAAGATGAACCATTGCTATTCTGCTAATTTTTCTATGTTAGCGGATATGATAGCTTCTGGGATGTTGGTTCACTAAAACCTAAATGACTGCATATATAGGCATATAGCTAAGACTTCTTCATTATCTCATAAACAGGTAACAATAAGAATGATTGTTCATGAGAATATTCTAATGTTCATGTCAAATGACATTACATTATCGCATTTTTAGGAAAATAAGCTGGTTTTAACATATTTCTTGATGTGCAATATTATTACTGGTTACTTTAGTGGCTGACAGGGTTTTTTTATAGGGAACGAATCCAACCTATATTTCTTCAAGACAAGTATAATGAAACACACAAGATAGTGGTGGAAATGTAGGTTTAGATGATAAATACATACCTCAGCACATTGCTCTTCAATCTGATGTCTTAATTTCAGGGCATACTCACTGCTCACATCCATGTTATTCAAGGCGGTAGAAATATCAATTCCTGTTTTCTGCACTCCAACACCACCCAAAAACAGCTTTCCTCCAAGGTTAGGCTCCCTCATTTTCTGCTGCAAAGCATCATTATACTCACCACCCAGTGATAAGAGAGATGGAGGCTACTGTAATTGAAATGTAAGTGGGAGGATATAAATCTTTTTAAAAATGAATAATTTTATTTAAATGTTTAATTTGTTAGAACATGAAGCGCTAATTTCATGATTTGTGCTTTACAAAAATAAGAAGCGTCCTTTCTATGTTCTTAATTTTGGATTTTTGTTTGTAGTGTAAAGAAATAATAATATAATGTATTAGAAAAAATTATTGGGTTTTACCAAATAATAGTTAAAGATAGAAAAAAAAGTGGACCGATTATT